CTGTCTGATCTTAACGAAGGAGCCTGGAGGCAGCTCCCATTTGGCACCAGTGATTACACCAGTGACTACACACCTGCATGTCCTTCCATCGATCTAAAAGTGAAGCAGCAAGTTCTCAAGCAAACACCCTTTAGTTTGACACTAAAAATGATGATTAGAACCCTCTTCTTCAAAGAAAATCCCGTAGCTGCTCTAAGGACCACAGTGCTGGTCGACCTCTCCAGGGACACGATCCGCCTGTGTGCCCTGCCGACCGGAGGCGTCCAGCGCCGCACGTGGGGCCGCCCCCAACAGGAGAGGTGTAGCTCACACTATCCTCTCTTTCCTTCTAGCGTTATTGTCAATAAATGGTATTTTAATCAAAGCTTCCCAGTCTGCACGCCTTCCTTACTGGGGTCACAACGATCTCTAGCCCCAGAGCACCACACGTGCTCCCTGCGGCAGCACAGGCTCCTGCTGCAACCCCAGGTCTGCCCTGTTCCGAGCGTGACGTGCTCCAAATTTTGAAGCAATGTTGTGATGTGGACTGGCAAGACGATTTGGCAGCAAAATTCAGCCAGTGTCTCAAGGCAGGTGCTCGGGAGAAGGTATCTGAGCTCAAAACCACACTCAAAGGACAAAGAAAAACAACGGAGTGGCCCGCCTGTGTCTTTGCTGGGAAGAATGGGAGCCACTCACATGCAAGTACAGGTCAAAAACCACTAAAAAAAATATTTCAAAATGTGCTTGTTTCCAAAAAAAACCCTGCATTTATTTTGAAGGAAGAATTCTGACTTAATTTCCCAAAATCAAACTAAAATTGAACTAATTCTGAACGTTTCTCATTGGAGATTTAAATTTTGGAAAAAGATTTGCTCCAAAACTGTATCATTCTATAGAATTCCTATTAATTTGACTTTATTTCCTGACTGACCAGTAACATCACTTAATGACATGGCAATCTTGAAGCTTCTTCAGTCTTAAGGAGCTGCTATCATTTAGCACGACCTGAAGAATCTTTTTCCTTACGCTGAGAACCCCCTTTGAAATGGAATATTTGAACACTCAGGAACGAGAAAAGAAGATAAGCAAAGTACTGACCAAAGGAGAAGCTGTTTCAAATATAAAAATTCGAATTTTTTTTTTGAATTTTTGAATTTTTTGAATTTTCAAATATATATCGATCGTGGGTGATGGTCACACTACAAATGCTGTTCTGTTCTCTAACCCCACCAAGCTGAAGCTGAGATTTTCAGCGCAGAAAGAGCAACTTCTGCCCTGGGACCTGACCTCACCCGCACCCCGAGAGGCTCCGTGCCTGGTGCTGGTGCTTCTGGCACAGGCAGCGGCACCAGCCCTGCGCAGAGCCACTGTGGCAGCGGTGCCCAGGCTGGCAGTGAGCCCTGCTCCTCACCTCCAGCTTCCCGTTACTCCTGCCAGCAACAATCAGGTTCCCTTGCAGGTCCAGGCTCCAGACGGAGCTCTCCAAGTCTCCTCCCCAGGAAGGAATCGGGGTCGATTTCTCAAATCCCGTGAACGATTCGTCCCCCAGGCTCCTTCTGCGGCCGCTGCAGCCTCCGTCCTCGGTCCCGCAGCCCAGGGAGCGGGGGCTGCCGCTCCCCGCGCAGAAGCCGGCCTGTCCGTGCGGGGCCGAGAGGCCAGGGAAGTTCATGCAGTTGGAGGTGCCGTGCTCCTCGTACACTTTGCCGACCAGGCTGCTGAAGTCATACCCGGCGGTCTCCTTCTGGCGACTGCCCACAGCGCGGAGCCGCGTCTCCGACTCGGGCACCTTCACCTGCTCGGAGAAGTTGGTGTCAATGAGGGACGTGAGGTCTGGCTGGTCGCAGAAGAGCGGAGGCTGGGGAGGGCTGAGCAGCCTTTTGAGCTGGTGACTGTTCTCAAAGGAGTCATCCAGACCATTCTTGCCATCCGGACTATGATCCCAGCTTTCCTGGTAATCAAAAATGCCACTGCTGTCTCTTCGCAACCTGAAACACAGCAACGAAAGGTCACTTCTCCCACCTCGACCGAGCGGGCTCGTTTCTGCCAGCAGGGTTTGCACCAGCTGCTGAGCAGCGACCGTGGAGGGACCTTCCTGCAGGGGAATGACCTGGTACAGACACCACGTACCTCGGTTTGGGAATAACAGTGAGGCAGTCGCCGGTCTGAGCATCCCACACGCGGATCTGGCCCACCAGGCAGCAGCTGACGAGCAGCATCCCATCGCTAGCCAGACACTCGATGTCCTGGGGAGGAAGGACAGGCACAGCTGAGCGCGTGGCATCACCCAGGCCCCCCAGACTCTGCCAATCGCCGTGCGTGTAGCTGAGGAGCTACACAGATGATAAACTTTATGTTGGAACTACGTGGCTGGCTTAGCAACCTCGGGGCGCTCTGAGAACGTGACTACCTCTTTGGCCAGAGTCCTAGACGAGCACTAAACTGCTGCAAACCCAACAGACTCCAGCTCTCTTCCCTTTCCCTGACAAAGTATGGCTCAAAGAGATGGTGGGATCAGGAACAGAGGTGCAGCTTCTCCGGAACACATGGCACAGCATTCCAAACTCCATCTGACTGGGTGCCCAAGTGTGTTGTTTCATCTCAGAATGGGAAGAAGCGTCTTTCCTCTCAAGAAAAATGAGTTAACTGAGCAGCAACACGCTTCTGTGCAAATCCTTGGATGCTTTCAGCTCTGGAAACAACATTTAAAAGCCCAAATCTATGCACTAACTTCTGGGAAGCAGAAAAAAAAAGGATCCACTAGGCATTAAATATTGGGAATCCGGAGCTACCCCAGCAAAGAAAGCTGGATCAGCCCAGCCAATAAAAGCCAAGAGTGGGCTACGCAGAGAAGGGAATAACAGCAATTGTAATAAGCTCAGAGTGAGTCCCAGGAGGAAATGGAAAAGTCCTACAGGAAACTTCATACTGCAATATCCTTATATACAGATAAATTGCCCAGCTGTTTGCCTCCACGGCTGCATTCCGCTACGGCTGCACGGCTGGTCTGCCCTTCGTGAGGGCTGTTATTTAAATAAAACAAAGAAAACGAAAGCTGTGTGGCACAAGGGAGTAAAATGCCTTTCTTGTGAGGGCTGCACCGTCCGACCTACCATGAGGTGACCCCTGAGAACCAAGGGGACGATCTCAGTCTCGGGTGGGGAGTAGCCGTAGTCGTCACAGGGCAGGTCCCCCCTCTTCCTCCTGCTGTGAGAGAGCCCGTTCTGCCCATAGTTCTTGGGGCAGAACACCCGGTACAGGCAGAAGAGCAGGAGGACCAGGATAATGCCTGAGGCCAGACCCAGAGCAGCCACCCTGGTGGGAAAGACAAAGAGATACACAGACAAAAAGAAAGTGAGATAAAGTTCCCATTACTAGTCATAGAATCATAGAATCCTGGAATGGTTTGGGATGGAAGGGAATTTCAAGATCATCCAGTTCCAACCCCCCTGCCATGGCCAGGGACACCCTCCACTACACCAGGTTGCCCAAAGCCCCATCCAACCTGGCCTGGAACACTTCCAGGGATGGGGCAGCCACAGCTTCTCTGGGCAACCTGTGCCAGTGCCTCACCACCCTCAGAGGGAAGAATTTCTTCCTCAGATCCCATCGAAATCTCCCCTCTTTCAGTTTAAAGTCATTGCCCCTTGTCCTGTCACTCCATGTCCTTGTCCAAAGCCCCTCTCCAGCTTTCCTGTAGCCCCTTTAGGTACTGGAAGGTGCTGGAAGGTCTCCCCGGAGCCTTCTCTGCCCCAGGCTGACCAGCCCCACCTCTCCCAGCCTGTCTCCAGAGCAGAGGTGCTCCAATCCTCCAGTCCATGGACAGAGTTTGAAAAATACTGTGAAAAGCATTACACATGTTGCTAGTCTAAATTTTTCAGCTGACCACAATTTCCAATAAGCTACAGTGATTTCTGGAAAATGAAAGGATTTTTTAAATGGGAAAATGTCAATCTCAACAAGATTTTCAGTCTTTTCACTAACAAAAGTACACAGCAATTAAGACAGTAAGAAAAACACTAGATGGGGATCGGGATAATACAAAGTGCGTTCAACACAGCCAAAGGAGAACTGCAGATTCACAGGGTAAGGTGGGCGCCCGTCCTCTCAGTATGACAGGAGGGTCCCTGCTTGCATCAGAGTTTGATTTAACACCCAATAAACAATTATTGGATCACAACGTTTATTCCCAAAGACAAACTCCTATCCCTGTTACCCAGTGACAAACCCCGTAATGCATCATGTGGGTGCTAGGAGCAACAGTCTGAGCATCACCAAGCCATCCGATTAAAATACAGCTTAATCTTCAAAACACAGACTAATTGCACAGCAGCTGACTACATTATGGGCTGCATCCAAAGCAGCGTGGGCAGCAGGGCGAGGGAGGGGATTCTGCCCCTCTGCTCTGCTCTCGGGAGACCCCCCTGCAGTGCTGCCTTCAGCTCTGGGGTCTCCAACAGCAGAAGGACATGGAGCTGCTGGAGCGGGGCCAGAGGAGGCCACGGAGATGATGGGAGGGCTGGAGCACCTCTGCTCTGGAGACAGGCTGGGAGAGTTGGGGCTGTTCAGCCTGGAGAAGAGAAGGCTCCAGGGTGATCTTATTGCAGCCTTCCAGTACTTAAAGGGGGCCTACAGGAAAGCTGGAGAGGGGCTTTTTACAAGGGCGTGTAGTGATAGGACAGGGGGCAACAGATTTAAGCTGAAAGAGGGCAGATTTAGATTAGATCTGAGGGAGAAATTCTTCCCTCTGAGGGTGGTGAGGCACTGGCACAGGTTGCCCAGAGAAGCTGTGGCTGCCCCATCCCTGGCAGTGTTCAAGGCCAGGTTGGATGGAGCTTTGAGCAACCTGGTGTAGTGGAGGGTGTCCCTGCCCACGGCAGGGGGGTTGGAACTGGATAATCTTGAAATTCCCTTCCAACCCAAACCCTTCTGTGATTCTATGATTATAGTGAACTCTTGCATATGCATCAAGTTTGTACATCACTCGTCCACAGTCATCACTATATACTGACAAGCAGCTCCCACCAACAGCAATGTCTACTAACAACCTGGGCTGCACACGCCATCTCCTGTCAGGGAACTAATTAGTGAGAGATTAATTTAATGCTGCACTAGCTGAGCTAGAGTGTCCTGAGCATTACGGGATTTTGCGCTGAAGCTTTACAAATATTTTTTGGTCTCCCACCAGGAGAAAAGCCAAGAGCAAGCCGTGTCTCCAAGGGAGAAGGCACGGTCAGAAGGCTGTACGGAGGACTCTCTTACTTGTAAAGGGTGACATCCTGGTGCCCTTGCTGCTTGGGTGAAGCTTGGTCAGGTTGAGCTTTGCCATCCAGCTTCCCACTGCCGGCAGACAAGAAGGGGTGGTAGCGGTTCGCCTCCTGGGGGTGCCGCACTTCTAAGGCCTCTTGTGGGTTCAGGTACAGCGTGACAGGGATTGCGGGGAGGATGCTGATGTATCTGAAGGAATGGAAAGACGAGAACAGCTTAGGAACAACAAACACAAAAGACACAAAAATCCAAAGAGGTTTCCCAGCTCGTCTTCTCACAAGGTAGGTCTCAGGCTGTACTTTCATCCAGTAGTTTCAGGTATTCTAAACTAAAGATCTCTGAAATATTTTTCTCTAAATATATTTCCCAGGTCTTAACCCTTAACTCTGTGGTAGAGGTTAAGAGCCAACAGCAGAATAAAGTACTGATGAGGTCAAATGAATCACACAGGTTGAAGTAAGGATATAAAGATCTGGTCCAGCTTCCTGCACACCGCAGGCCAGATGATCTCACAAAGAAGTTTCTTCAGCTCAGACGTCTCTATTCCTCACATGCACCATCCCCATCACTTACAGATGATGGTATGTTGTTTTACAAAATTCTAAACATCACCTCCAGGGTAAAGGAAGACAACAAGCAAGTAATGCACCCAAGAGCACAGAAACACAACCCTTACTCCCAGACAAACAGCCCTGGACAGTTTGGTACCTCTGCATCACACTGGAGGGCCTGTTTAATAGTCTCCTCCTGAAGACGCATTGGGAGTAAGTCACGTGGAACACAAACTATCTAACTCAGAAGGACAGCAGGAAAAAAAACACTTGGGGTCAACTCCACAATCCAAAGCACCCGGGCACTCGACGCCAGCCCACTTGCCTTTTGGCCAGAGTGATGTTGTAGTAGCTGAAGAGGGATGGCCAGTGCCTGAAGGAAAGCTTCCTCCAAATCTCCTCATCCTCTGCTCCCCAGGTAACCACTGCTTCAGTTCCAAGCTCCGTCTGTCCATTCCCTTTGCCCTCTGGTCCTTGGGCCCACGTGTGCTGGTTTGTCCCCAGCCTGCTCAGGGACTCCAGCCCTGACTTCTGCTCACGCTGCTGCGTCTGGTTTTCCGACAGCTCTATAGGGTCCGACGGGAAGACTGAGAGGTCAATCTTGGGGTCCCCAGCAGGTAGGACCCCTCCAGGAACAGGCATAGGAGGCAGACCTGCTTCACCCAAAGGACTTTGTTCAGTGACCTGTGACGTGAGGTAGGTGCGGAGACCAGCAGGATCCGTGTAAACCAGGATTCCAATCCAGATCACTGTCCCAGCCTGCACACGAAGAGCAAAGAGACAAGCTCGTTTAGGACACGGCCTGCACACTCCACCTCCAACACCTGGTCAGCTGCCTGAGCTGATCACCAACATCCCAACCAAGGGGATAACGCCCCGTGCTCCGTTATGGTCTTACCCCCAGCAGACACCGATCCTCCAAAAAGATTGGGAGAGGCTGCACAGAACGCGCGAAAACCGAACGCCGCTTTTCTGTGAGCCATCCGACTCAACCCAACGGTGGGAATCCCACTTCTCCCACACAAATAAATGCAGAACAGGGAAGAGGATCCTTGCTGGTGGCTGGGACCAGCACGTCTGCCACCCTCAAACAGGGCTGGAAGGGCTTAATCTGGGGTTCTGGTTCAGGAATTCTGCGAGAGCTACTGCAGCAGCCGCGGTTCGCAGACTGATGTATTGATTTAACTTAAACTACCACCAGTGTCAGTCGACAGTAGCAGACTGGGCTGTGGTTTGTAGAAAACCCCCCGTCCCTCCGCCTCCATCACAGGTGACAAACAGGGGCAGCAACTGGTGTAACCGCTGCAGTTACACCTGCGAAAGGAAAAGCCTTAGTCTTGCAGGCAGCAAAATATCTCCACGTCTTTATTGCACGTTATCTGTAGGAACAAAACATGATTTCTGCTCTGCCAAAATCTTCTCTGTCCACTCATACAGTCCTTGAAAATCCACTTATATAAAAGCGGATTTTTGCTGCAAAGCAAATATCAGAAAATTACCCACCACCACCCAAACATCCTGAGAACAGTGGAGCCCTGGAGCTATTTCATGCAGAGCAGTGTTCTTAGGGAAGTAGTTCATAGATTCATAGATTTTCTAGGTTGGAAAAGACCTTAGAGATCATCGAGTCCAACCGTCCCTAATCCCCATTAAACCATATCCCTAAGTAGGTCATCCACCCTATTCTTAAACACATCCAGGGATGGGGACTCAACCACCTCCCTGGGCAGACTATTCCCGTGGCTGACAACCCTTTCAGAGAAGAAATACTTCCTAACATCCAACCTGAATCTGCCCTGACTAAGCTTGTACCCATTTCCTCTTGTTCTATCTCCCATCACTAATGTAAAGAGCCCTTCCCCCACCTCCCCACCATCCCTTCTCAAGTATTTGTAGGCTGTAATCAGGTCTCCCCTCAGCCTCCTCTTCTCCAGGCTAAACAGCCCCAACTCCCTCAGCCGCTCCCCATAAGTTTTATTTTCCAGCCCCTTGACCAGTTCTGGAACTGTATTTACCACGGGGCAGCATAAGTCTTGCAGGGGAACAAGGATGCACGAAAAACGTTGGGTTTCCCGCCACCCTCCACCCCCAGAAGCCTATTTGGGTTTGTTGAGTGTCCAGCAGGAAGGGGCAGCAGATAACAACCCCCACATGGCATACCATGATGAGTCTCTGGGCCAGCCGGGTCCTGGCGAAGAAGTAGATGACCCGCAGCCTCTTTGGCAGGCGCAGATTCCTGAAAGACGACGGCTGCAGGGTGATGGTGTGGGGGGTGGCAGGTCGCATAGCTGGCTGGCGTTCGTAGCGCTGAGAGCGGCTGACGGGCTTCGCCGGGGGCATGCAGGCTTCTGCTGGCAACCGCTTGTTCAGATCAGCGAGCTGCCAAGAGGAAAGCGAACACGTGAGAGCCGCGGTGACAAGGTCCCCCGAGAGAAACGTGTGCACATCAGCCACCTTTGATACGTGCCTCCGTCTGAGTTCCCACCTTCTCTCGAGTCAGTCTGGCATGTGCTCTCTTCTTCACCCAGCCATGGTCCCCTGTGTGTGACCTTGCCTCCTTCCAGCCCGTTTACCCCAGATCCGCACGTTTATACACCTGAGGGTGTCTTGTTCCCTCAAGGGTCCTGTCCCCAATCCCTGCGTATGCGTAACCAAGCAAATACAGTTCCCCAACACAAGAAGGACATGGAGCTGTTGGAGTGGGTCTGGAGGAGGCCACAAAGATGATCTGAGGGCTGGAGCTGCTCTGCTCTGGAGACAGGCTGGGAGAGTTGGGGCTGTTCATCCTGGAGAACAGAAGGCTCCAGGGTGATCTTATTGCAGCCTTCCAGTACCTAAAGGGGCTACAGGAAAGCTGGAGAGGGGCTTTTTACAAGGGCATGTAGTGACAGCACATGGGGAAATGGCTTTGAACTGAAAGAGGGGAGATTTCCAATAGATCTAAGGAAGAAATTCTTCCCTCTGAGGGTGGTGAGGCACTGGCACAGGTTGCCCAGAGAAGCTGTGGCTGCCCCATCCCTGGAAGTGTTCAAGGCCAGGTTGGATGGGGCTTTGGGCAACCTGATGTAGTGGAGGGTTTCCCTGCCCATGGCAGGGGGGTTGGAACTGGATGATCTTTGAGGTCCCTTCCAGCCCAAACCATTGTGTGATTCTGTGAAATACTGCCCCGTAACTTCCACAGCTCGGTCTTTTCTGGCTAGAGTGTGGAAATCACGGGGTGTGCTTCCTTTAATCCTTCCACAACAGCAGAGAAGGCAGCACCCCGTGTGCTCAGCCCTTCCTTACCTCCATACGGCGAATGTCAATGGACAGCACAGTAGTGAAGAAAAACATCTGCAGAAAGAAGTCAGACACCAGGCCGACCACAGCGAAGAGGCAGAACTCCTGCAGACAAGACACACGAGGATTAGCTACGGCAGCTGCAGAGACAAAGGTAAATATTTCAGCTTCAGAAAAAGGGAAACTCAGCAAACTCCTGCCCAGAGAGCAGGCCTGAGTCTATTGTCGGTGTTTTGTAACAGTTGAAAGTTTAGTGCTAAAAAAGTCCGTGCGAGAACTCAAGACCATACTGGTTTGCATTCTTTGTTCTTCTTAGCCATGAAACATCAAAGCACCACAGGAAAAAACAGCAGAGGATGTTTTCCCAGTTCACAGAGCCATGGCAGGGCTGCGGCCAGAGCTCTCAGCCTCCTGGCCGTGCGTTCGGATGACAAAGTCCAACGCCCCATA